AAATGTCCCCAAGCAGCCCCAAAACCCCAAAACCCCAAAACCCCAGGGCTCATTATTACTAGAATTGAATCGGAATCGTTAAATAAGTAAGATAGATGTTGATTGATGTGTATGTAATAGTGTGAATTGAATTCACAACTTTGAGAATTTAAATCTTTTCAATATTTAACAGTTTCTTTGATTGCTTCTAGAATTTTGAATCTATCTGGCAAGTAGAAAGTCTCAAACACAAGTGGAAATGGGGTGTCATAGCCACAAACTCTTCTAACAGGTGCTTCTAAGTGAAGGAAGCATTTTTCTTAAATTTTGGCAGCTAGTTCTGCTCCAAATCCTCCAGAGATGGGAGCTTCGTGAGTCACTATACATTTACCTGTCTTTTTAACACTCTAAAGAACAGTCTCTTCATCATAAGGGAAAATAGTCCTTAGATCAATAATCTCACAAGAAACATCAAATTCTTTCTCAGCCATTGCTACTGCCATTCTCACTTGTCTTAATTATGTTCCCCATGAGATAATAGTTAGATCAGTTCCCTCTTTTAAAACCTCAGCCTTCATTAGTGGAATTTCATAATCTTCAACTGGGACTTCTTCCTCTGCAATTCTATACAATATTTTTGGTTCAAAGAACAAAACTGGATTGTTGTTTCTTATACTAGATAATAAGAGACCTTTGGCCTGAACTGGAGATCTTGGAACTACAGTAATAAGGCCTGGAGTATGAGCAAAGTAGGCTTCCGGAGATTAAGAATGATAAAGTGCACCATGACCTACAGCACCAGATGGTGATCTGAATGTTAGTTTTCCACAGTCGAATTCATTGCCTGATCTATATCTGTACTTAGCAGCTTCATTTACAATTTAATCAAATGCTGGGAATATGTAATCAGCGAATTGAATTTCAGCAATTGCATTGGCACCACTAGAGGCTAAGCCTATTGCGAAACCAGCGATTCCTTACTCTGAAAGTGGAGTGTTAAAGACTCTATCAGTTCCGTATTTTTCATTAAGACCCTAGGTGCATCTAAAAACACCTCCAAACTTTACATCTTCTCCAAAAATAACACTACTTGGATCAGTTTTCAAAGCAATATCAAGAGCATCAGCAATAGTAGCGCAGAGATTCATTTTTTAAAGATTTTAAGGGTTCTTAAGTTTTAGTTCTTTAACGTTTAATTTGTCGCTGAAATCAAAGTTCTCCATATCTTGTTGCATTGAAGAGAATGATTTTTAAGCCAAATTGATTTGAGCAGGTCTTAAAAGAACTGGACCTGAAGATTTACTATGCTGTATGAAATATCTTGAAATCTTGTGCATATTAAATCTATGATTATCTTTATATTTATAATTAATTTATTCTCAGTAATTATAAAGAATGACGGGGTTTTGGGGTTTTGGGG